AGTGGATTCGTAACGGTGATCAAACTAGACAGTGCCCCAGTGCCGTCGGAAAAGGTAACGGGTACTATTTGGAATGACAGCCAAAAGTTGGCGAGAGCTTTTCAGATAAGTTATACGTAGAATTTACAAGAAAAATATTATTTTAAATACGTTAAGGATGACCGGTGGATCATTTGACATGGTCCATACTGTGCCAGACGTAATTTCTCATTGAAAGGATATCGTTGATTTCGAAAGCAAAGGATAAATAAAAGGTAGCTGTCACGTAACGGTGCCCAGCCAACTCTATCCGATCGACTGTCATGCCTGTCAGTGGATCGATAGGCACCTAAATGAAGTTCCCGTTACGTCACTGTGTCTCGCCAATCGTGGACTGCTTTAAATTAGCTTCATTAATTAAAGCCTGAAATCGATTGGACCATAGGGTGGCTGACAAACTACCCAACCCTGTAACACAGCCGCACAAGAATCCCAGAGACAGACAACATGCGTGGCTTGATAATTGCTTAATTAGTACCTGTGATTAATTAATCGACTCTATGCCACTAGACTATATACGGAGAAATACACGCCGTACGTAATACAACTATACAGTAGCGTGAGTCGAATAAGGTCGAAAGAAGCCAATTGAAAATACAGGTAATAACAGTTTCCACGTGGATCAGACTCCTGGGAATGATCTTTCACTCAGACTTGAAGGCTCCGAGCTACCGAATTCTTGTTCCTCTATTCCTCTCTTGGGTTAAATTGCCTAGGATCTTTATTACACCCTCTAGTTTAGCAGCAAGCTCATCAGCACCTCAGGTACAAAAGAGCCACCTATTCCACTGTAGCCATCTAACCATCAAGCTGGGGTTGCACCTAGGGTGTTGGATACGTGGTAAGTACCAGGACAAACCCACGGCTATTCATTCTCCACTAGGCTATTTTTCTAGCCCTGTGCTGATCCCTGGCACTCTCACTCTCACTCCCTCGTTCCCACTCTCAGCCCTGGGTAGCCTTCCACCGAGTTCCTCGGTTTCCTGGCATACATAATTCATCCTGGCGTGCCGCGTAAACAATAATACTTCAGCCGGATCCTCGAGAACAATGGCTATCGGCAGCCTGGTGGCGTGTTCCTGATGGAAAGAAAGAAATAAAGAGAAGTGAAGGATTCGACAATGAGTCCTGGACTAGGGCGCCTACCTCGTAGAGGACTACGTAATGGATATACACGTACCTGGTGTATTATGCTGAAAGAGTAGGACCAGGTTGGAGGCTTCGTTGTGGCGAGGGAGGAAGCTCGTTAAGACGCTCGTAAAACCTTGCGGAATAATCAAGAAGCTTTCCAGCGACGCCAGGGCGTCGCCTAGCGAGGAGCTAGGAAACGTGCCCTGGAAACATCCTGAACCTCCGAGACGACCGAGATCTTAAAAGTTGTTGCAAAAAAGGTCCTTCGCTCCTGGTCCAATTAAGTCGACTGGTTAAATTTGCATTCCGGGCACTTTCTTCCTTGTTTTCTTAAAAGTCCTTTTTTTAAACGCGTGCAGCTGCCCCAAGTACGTATACATCTATCGCACCCGGTAGAGTTACCACGGCTGACAGACTATAGGTACCGGTCACGACTTCGCTGATAGGGCAAGTTTTCAATAGACATTTGCATATTTCACGAGCTGCCAACGAGGAAAGATCCTCAGGTCCTTCCGCTGGTGGCGATGCTACGTCGGGATGGAGGAGAGACGAACACCAGCTGTCCAGGACCTGAGCCAAAACAATCTCCCGGGACTCAATCCGTAGGGAAGCGGGACGAATTGAACTACGTAGGAATTATCGAACAGGATATAAGACGACATCCCGGAATTCCCTAGGGCATTTTACTAGGAATGAATTTCCCCCTTAATACATAGATCCTTATGGAGCCCGTTGGAATTTCTACGTCTTGAGATATTCGCCGCCTGGATCCAAATGTCTTTCAGGAATTCGAGAGGAGTCCGGAAGGCAAGATTAACAAATCTATTGGGAAACTACTGGAACTACCCGGGCACCTTGCAGACGAGAAAACTTCACCAACGGAATGTCATTGTTACGGCTAGAGAAATTACGCAAATTTTCATAAACAAAAAAAGAGCAAGCAAAAATTCACGAGCACTTAAAAATCCAATAGCTCTTTGCGAATTTTCCGTATATCGAGTATACGAATCGCAAGTAAATATAGACAGGAGATCGATGACAGAGAAAAAGGAATGACTGGAGAAATAAGGGCAGTAGGTATAACGGAGAAGGTAAAAAGTCGGTCGATCTACAGTGGTGCAAGGGAAATGGAAGGTGAACAAAAAAAAGATAGAAAAGTAGGAGTAGCATTGAAAATTCCTATACGGGCCATACCTATGGATATACGGTTGAAGTGGGCGGATTAAAAGAAAGAGAGAGAGAGAGAGAGAGAGAGAGCGCGCGAAAAAGACAAAGCGTGTGTATATACGGGAGAGAAAGAAACCGAGAAAAATTGGCAGAGTTGCGGAAAATCCAGGATAATAAATGGCATCGTGTTCGATCATAATCGAGGATGAATATTACGTCGAATTGAAGGCGACCGAATAAAAAGGGACAGATGGAAGATGAAGGTAGGTAACGGTAAACAAGGTAATATCTCCCAGAATGCATCAGGGGATGATCCGACATATATATATATATCGCAGTTCAGGACCGACGGTGTACATGTCTGGTAAATGCATAGCTACTCAGTTTGCTATGTGCCATTGATATATACGTAATATATATATATATATATATATATATATATATATATATATATATTATATATATATATGACACA